ATGCACTATACACTATGTACTCAACCATGTAGTGTATGAATTTTATAAGGTTATTTTGTCATTAATAATCGGAGTCTGATAGCCCATCCCCCTTCGTGGCGTAATTAAAGCTGCGACGGTCGAGTGCATGAAGTGCTCAACATTCTACACTTCGTTTTTTTAGGTTATTTAAGTGCATCATCTGGGTATTTAAAGTGCACATTTTCTTTTTGGAATTTTCAGTGTGAATTCACTACTCGCACTATTTATGCTACAAATCGTCATAGAATAGTGCACAAGTACGCGATTTGGGATGCACCTTTAGGAAAATGTTTGGACAGGACTAATTTTTTTTTTTTTTCATGATTTTAATGGCAGTTTTATCTAAAAAGCTCATGCTTACATGCATTGGTTTTAATGCATTTTTTATAAACCAAATATAAATTCTGCCTTATTCAGACAGGAATTGTTTCACATGCAGACATCTGTTAAAATATTTGCATGGCTCCTTGGTGATAAAACTGATATGTTTAGATGATTTTCAATGGAGGAGCAAGTTTTGTGATACTACAGACCCGGAATTGCATTTCTCATATGTTCAGTCACAACACAACAGTCACAATTTTATCATTTCAAATGGTGGACGGATATCATTTTTAAAATGTGGAAATTAGCAGAAATAAGTTAATGCAGTTAAAGGGATAGTTCACCCAAAAATGAAAATTTGATGTTTATCTGCTTACCCCCAGGGCCTACACCAAGATGTAGGTGACTTTTGGCGCTTTTCCACTGCGTGGTACGACTCGGCACGGCTCAGTTTGCGTTTCCACTGCAGTTTAGTATCGCTTTAGAATGGGCGGGATTATTCACGTCGTTATAGTTGCGCCACCTCTACTGCCACGACTCCTGAAAAACTTTTTCATTCCGCATCGCCCCATCAAGCTCTCGCTGGATCCGCTCCTCTGCTATTAACGAGAGAAATGTCTGCACTTCCTCAACAGACAACAAAACAACCACTTTTTGGTTGTTAAAAAAAGGTGCGCTCGTTCAAAACAGTTGCGTTCGATGCTTCACTGGCTGTGCTGATTAAAATCTAGCGGTTCTGTTGTGTTTGTGTCGCAAGTTCAGTGACGATTACTGAGCCTTGCTGAGTCATACCACGCAGTGGAAAAGTGCCAAAAGTCACCTACATCTTGGATGCCCTGGGTGAACTATCCCTTTAATACAGTTACCGGCTTTGTTCCAAGTATGATATATGATCTTTAGATGTGGGGAATGAGCTCTGCCCCCACCCAGATCATGACCCTACCTTATCTAGAGACTATTATGTGTCTTTGAATGGAGAACAGGTGCACTAGACTGCAAAGGTCACCTACTCATAGTACTGACAATCTAGTTTTGCTCTTTCACACATACAGATAACAAAACACATGGCTTAACTGCACAAAAGCACATCATCTTTAAGCAATGTGCACAAACACTGAGATGTCATGTTATATCCGTGACGTGGATTTCTAGGAACTAAACAGTGAATGGTTTTTGCATACTATAGTAATTATGATGGATTGCATGCAACATTTGGCTTTTGTAGTACAATATAGCTACTAGAAATGCCATCAGTCTCGTTCTTCTTGTCCGTAAGACCAATTGCCGGTAAACTTCCTCCATTTGTCTGCATACAGGAATGGCCGCTGCCGATCGGAATGGAAGTTCACCATTTCTCAGCCCACTGCTCAGGTAGTGGGAGTGCTGAAGATCCAGGTTCATTACTATGAGGATGGCAACGTGCAGCTGGTCAGCCACAAGGATGTGCAAGAGTCTCTGGTCATCTCTGTAAGTTATCTGAGCCTGAGCTGCTTGGGTTTTTGAGTGAGTATGCTTCCTGTAAATGAGTCAGTACGACACAAACAACTTGCCTGATAAAGTAACAGCCGACTGCCCTATGAATGACTTGTCTAATGACAGTGGGGTGTGGTGCTGTTTTGATAGATGAAGCACATGATGCCTTTTTGGTACATCTGTTTTCTGGACTTTGAATTGTTGCTGCCTGGCATGGCAGAATGATATTTACTAGTTAAGTTTAGACTGCCATTCAAAAGTTGGTGTCAGTCATTTAAAAAAAAAAAAATGTTACATTTACTTTTATTTAACAAGAATTCATTAAATTTCTCAAAAGTAAATTTATAAGGGATCTACAAGAGATTTCTGTTACGTTTTTCAGCATAATACTTAGATAATACCAAGAAGTGTTTCTTGAGCAGCATGATTTCTGAAGGATCATGTGACACTGAAGACTGGAGTAATGATGCTGAAAATTCAGCTTTGCTATCACAGGAATAAATGACATTTTAAAATATATTCAAATAGAAAGCAGATATGTAAAATTGTAATAATATTTCATAATATTACTGATTTTACTGTATTTTTGATTAAATAAATGCAGCCCTGATGAGCAAAAGAGGCTTCTTTCAACAACATGAAAAAAAAATCTTACCAAACCCCAAACTTTTGAACAGTAGTTTATATTAACGCCATTTCTAATGGATTTTCTTTAAGCCTTTTTCTTTAAGTGGTATTAATAAAAAATTTTTATTTTTTTGTGAATGTAGTTTGGCTTGCCAGAACTTACTCTTCATCTCAAACTTTGACAACAAATCTCTTTTCCCAGTATCCCAATGCTCACTTACGACAGCATGAGAATGATAAATTAGAAAAAGCATCAATTAAAACACCTGATGTTCTTCCTTTTTCATTTTAATTTTGTTGTACTAGCGCCATATGCTTCTTTGTTGAGAGAAAAGAAACATGAAATTACCCTGCAAATCCATTTAATTCTGACCAAAATTAAACACTAAAAGGAACAATCACTGTTTCTGAAATTGTTTTGCAACTTCTTTTCAGGAATTATGAGTGCGCAAATGATCCACTTTTGGTAATTTAGTGATTATTTTTGTTCTTCTTTTTCAACAGAATGAGGTACAGACTGCCAAGGAGTTTGTCAAAATCATTGAAAATGCTGAGAATGAATATCAGGTTTGTTGATTTTGATTGGTTAGTCATTATTTTACAGTACTGCGATTGTAGGTTAGTCTTGATGGAGGGCAAAATGAAGTATTTTATAGCACCTGATCATATCTACGATGTGTGAAAAGTCATCGAGTGAGATTTCCTGTCGTTTGCCTTCCAGACGGCCATCAGTGAGAACTACCAGACCATGTCTGACACCACCTTCAAGGCCTTACGCCGGCAGCTTCCCGTCACCCGTACCAAGATCGACTGGAACAAGATCCTCAGCTACAAGATCGGCAAAGAGATACAAAATGCTTAGACACACGGCATGCCTCCGCTCCTGCTCGCGTTACAAGCAAAGAGACAAGCTACGAGGGGCCCATATCTAAACCTGAACCTACATCTGAATCCAGGGCTGGGCCAAGGCGAGAAGGTCCTTCAAGAAGTGTGCTAAAAATGTGTCTGTCCTTTGTTTGTTTGTTTGTTTGTTTGTTTTCCAGAAGCCACTGTTTGACCTCAGCTGAAGAGACTGCCTCCTTTTCTGTATTGTAGGAGGGCTGCAAGCTTGTTTTAATGGGTTTAGCAAAAGTTTTTGCTGTTGAACAAATACCTCCCACGACACCAGTGTACAGCATCATAAATGGCCCCCCTAATATCCCTTACGCCTCCCCTAGATCAGCGTTCCCAATGCTTGACACACACTGTACTTTTTATTGCACTTAGCCCATATGATCAATTGAGTCCATTTTGTTTACTTTTTTAGCAACTTGACAAAGTTATACTTCATGTTGAGTCATAAGATATAATTTATCAATACGTAGCCCATCAAAGCTCTCTGGCTGGTCATAATGAATGTCATGACACCAGTTTATCATCACCGTGTTGTTTTCCAACGTAGCAATTAGTCTTTTTTTTTAAAGCATTGTTGTAAGGTGCCATCATTTGAATATTTTGTCAATTGATCACAGAGAGGGTTGTGCCAAAGTGAGAACTGTATTTGTACAGCAAGTCGTTTCAGGATACTGTTCTGTGTGGAAATGGTCCCATCGTCGTACTCTGGTGTCTAAGAATGGTATATATACTGTATGCAGTTACACAAAATATTTGTTACCCCTCACTTCAGCCTCCTACCCTAGCTTTTATTGCTAACTATTTTTTACAAAATGTAAGAACAAATATGATCCCAGAGGAATAAACGATTTGCACCAAACTGACTTCATTACTATTATTTTTAATGTATTGTAACACCATTTAATGTCATAATATTATATATAATATTAAAATGCAGTTTTACTTCGAATGAGGGGTGTAAATTTGCTCTAAAGTCCATTTTTATTCTTTTTTATCATTTAGTAATTCATTAAGAATTCTCAAATTGAGCTCTGAATCTGTTTAACATTAGTTTTGGTGTTCAAACACTATTCAAACACTGTTTTTTCATTGTATTTGGTAGTGTATTATTATTATATCAAATTACACTAAATTCTGTAATTGGTGCATCAAAATGTAATTGTTAAATTGGTGCATTTCTACACCCCTGCTTAAATTGCTAGGATATTTGTTTGGTTCTTGCTATAAAAAGGTTAAATGATAATATACTATACCTATAAACATTAGCCTCAGAAATGAACTTTAATTGTATTTTTATTTCATTTTATTTTCCAATTACATTTTATTTGGCAAATGGTGATTATTTTGTTTTCCTCTGAATTGATTTTGAAGTTTATTTTTTAATATTTAAATGTTTTTTTTTTTCTGTATTCTTTTTTTCTATTTATTCTAATGTTTAAATTATTTTTCTAATATATCCATTTATTAGGTTAACAACAAAATGTTCAAATATGGGCTTTGTTTTGTTTTGTTGTGTATAGTAAAATAGTAGCACGTTAGAACGGTATTCTCATCAGCCAGTTTCACTTAAAAAAGTAGTATACAGTATATACTGCAGTATGCTATTCTGGTTTAAACCGTCGAGTATAAATGAACGGGAGCTGCGCCCTCTGTTGGAGAACGTCAGTACAACACTCTCCTCCACTATCCCACAATTCTAATGTTTATGGCTAGTCGGTGAAAGATGGCGGACAGCAGTGGCCGTAATCCTCAATCACACTGTTTCACGGAGAAATTAAAATCGTGGCTGTGCTGGTCGTGGACGTACATATGTGCGCTTTGGTTCGCCATGGTCTTAACGATGGTTTATGTGCTGAGGAGCCCACTGAAGCTGCAGGAGACCGTTAACGCAGGTAGGTGTGTGTTTATGTTCAGCTGTGTGGATGTCTACAGCACAACACAGGACATCTTTCTGTTCACTGAAGGAAAAGTTCACACAAATACACTAATTCTCTCGTCTCTATGCATACCCATGTGCGTTTAATTTTCTGTGGAATATGAAAGGAGAAATTTTGAAGCCAGTGCTGGTCGGAGTTTTCCATGCAATGTCGATGAATGGTGACTGAAGATGTCAAGTGTCCAGAAGGACTCTAAATTACCATTAATGATCATAACAGCACTCGAGTCGTACAGTTGTTTGAAGTCATACTTTAGCATTGTGAGAGAAACAGACCTGCATTTAAATTCATTGCTGAATCATTGAATGTGATTTTTGTTTACTTTAGATAAAAGCAGCTGTCAAATGCAAGTCTAGGAAATGTTATGTTTTGTACATTAATATAATTATGAAATCAGTGCACTGAAGCTTCACTCTTATGTCTCATAATTGTCACATTTTGTTATGGTATTAATATCCACAAATATTTTAACTTTTACATAGTGCAGTGTGCATGTGATGTCTGTGTAGTAGCATTGTTCAGAGGAGGAATTTACTAAGACAATGTGCTATGACAGTACACAAATAAAAAAAATGTTATACTAAGACGTTTTTCAAAGTTCTACATAAATAATCAAGTAACTTGTATATGAATTTATATATAAGCTACTTACTAATATATAAGCTACTTCATTTTTCAGTTACTGTTTTTAAGATGATACTTATAGCAGAAGTTGACTACATGTAAATCTAGAAAATTGGTGTTTTGTAAATGAATGTACAAAACTGTCGAACTACAGTTTGTCACAAACAAAGCATCACTCCAATTACTCAGTTTAAAATATAATATATTATATAAAACATATATCAAGTGTAATGTTTTAAAAGTGCAGTGTGCATGTGATGTTTGAGTAGAAGCATTATTCAGCGGTTAATTTTAAAATGAATTTAAATATAAATTTAAAATGTAATAATTTTATAACCGTAATTTATGCAGGATATGAGTTTAATCATTATTTTTGTACATTTGTTTAAAAGAGTTGTAAGACATTAAATTTCTGGCCATTTTTATGAGTTTAATTTGTATATATTTAAAATCTACTAAATACATCCCCACTATATATATATGTATATGTGTGTGTGTGTGTGTATATATATTGCTATTTTGCATTGCTTTAAGATAGTGCTGTCAAACGATTAATCGTGATTAATTGCATCCAAAATAAAAGTTTTTGTTTACATAATATATGTGTGTGTACTGTGTATATTTATTATGTATATATAAATACACACACATACAGTATATATTTTGAAAATACTTACATTTACATGTATATATTTATATTCATATAAATTAAATTATATATAAATATTTATATATAAATATATTTATTATATAAACAGCATATTTTACTGAAATATTGCATGTGTGTGTATTTATATATACATAATAAATATACACAGTACACACACATATATTATGTAAACAAAAACTTATTTTGGATGTGATTAATCGTGATTAATCGCGATTGATCGTTTGAGAGCACTACTTTAAGCATTTTTCAAGATTGACAGGTGTTACAATTGTTTCTTAATATGAGTATGTAAAAATGATTAGACTTTCTTTGTCTTACTATATTGTTATCCATCCACAGCATCTGTGTTTTTAAACACTCTTACGCCTAAATTCTATGTTGCGCTGACTGGAACCTCCTCGCTCATCTCGGGCCTTATATTGGTGAGTCTTTTTCTTGGCATTGGTAAATTGGTTGTCAAATAACTTAATACTTAATAAAATAAGTAATAACTATACTAAACAACTAACTTCAGTTTTAAAGCTGTGTAAAATCACACTCTGCGTTTGTCTTCAGATATTTGAGTGGTGGTACTTCAGGAAGTACGGCACATCCTTCATAGAGCAGGTGTCTGTCAGTCACTTGCGCCCTCTACTGGGAGGAGTGGAGAACAGCAGCTCTGCGGGCCTCTTCTCCTCTGTAAACGGCGATACCGAGCCGAGAACCAACGTTGCAGGTTTTTGAAAGTTACTACATGTTTATCTTTCTAAATATTATAAAGTGAATGGAATATGCAGCTATTATTTTATTTTTCTTTCAGAATGTAAAGTGTGGAGGAACCCACTGAACCTATTCAGAGGTGCAGAGTACAGCAGGTATGAAGGTTTCAGTTCATTTTAATATTTGATTTTTAAAATATGACAGAATTCTATTATTTAAAAAAATCATATTCATTCATGATCGTTTCATTCCAGGTACACTTGGGTGATGGGAAAAGAGCCCCTGACATATTATGACATGAATTTATCAGCCCAAGATCATCAGACCTTCTTCTTGGGAGACACTCAGCAACTTAGACCAGAGGACTCTGGTTAGTCTCATGCTCCTCCACTTGAAATAAATACCTAAATTGAATCAGAATTGATGTTTAATCATGATTGATATCTCTCTTGTTTGTTCTGCAGTAATGCAGAAGGCCTGGAGGGAGAGGAACCCGCAGGCACGAATTCAAGCAGCTTACCAGGCAATTGAAATGAACCGCGAGTGAGTTCCACACATCCTTGTGATTTTATTCAATTTACCGTCTTCAGACGTGGCTCATCCAGCCAGATTTTACAGCTGAAATGGTCCATTTAAACAGCCATAAAAATACGTGAATGAGGGATGCATACAATGTTGGTACCATTTTGCTTATTTGCTTATTTTTATTAAATTTTATTTAATCAGTCAATATAAGATAATTAGTTATGTATGCTCTTACATTTACATTTAGTCATTTAGCAGACGCTTTTATCCAAAGCGACTTACAAATGAGGACAATGGAAGAAATCAAAACCAACAAAAAAGCAATGATATACAAGTGCTCTGACAAGTCTCAGTTAGCCTAATGCAATACACGTAGCAAGGTTTAAAAAAAAAAGTTTTATTTTTAATTATATAATAAATAAAAAGAAAACAGACAGAATAGAAAAAGAATAGAGCAAGCTAGTGTTAGAGGCCTTTTTGCTTTTTGTTAATTGTATAATAAATAAAAAGAAAACAAATAGAATACAAAAAGAATGAAAATAGAGAAGCTAGTGTTATTTTTTTTAAAGTTAAAAGTAATATTTAAAAACATAATAACACAGTTAAATGTAATCTTATTTTTCATAATGTGCATTATAAAGATGATGCCTAAATTCACTTGTAACTTGTCATTTTAAAATGACCTGTTTTAATTTTTTATGTTATATTTTGAATTTATTTAAATATACAACAGCATGAAGTTGTATTGTAAGCCATGTATCGTTATTTAATTACTGGCTTTCTGTTTCAGCCAGATGTGAACATGGATTTTAGTTTTTCTAACTCTCTTTTTATTTTTTTATTCTATTTATATCTATTTTATCATATCGTATTGGATATTTAATTATGTATGCTCATTTTCTGTCACTTAAAGCTAATCTTAACACATAATAATCACATAATCTTAAAACATAATAATAATTTCATAGCACTATTAAATGTAATATTTTCTAAATTAATATATAATCATTTTTCACACTGTGCATTATAATGTTGATGCCTATTTTTATTATTTAAATGAGTTTTATTTTTATTATTTTAATACATAACAGTATCTTATTGTATTATAAGCCATGTATGGTTATTGATCATAACATAGGAGTAATTACTGGCTTTTCTGTTTCGGCCAGAATTTAATCATCATTGCATCTCTAATGTTTGCATCAAATTGACTTTTTCTGACTCTCAAGCATATGACTCATTCATTGCAGATGTGCTGCAGCATATGTGCTCCTGGCCGAGGAGGAAGCCACAACCATCACAGAGGCTGAACGGCTTTTCAAACAAGCGCTTAAGAGTGGTATGGAACTTTCACACAGTCACACATATATAGCCAGCATACAGTAACTCACACTGTTGCTTATTCTCGTTGCTTTCACAGCCGGTAAAGACACCAATCTTGTGGTCTACATCAAGCGCAGACTGGCCATGTGTGCAAGAAAACTGGGTCGCATCAAAGAAGCTGTAAAGATGATGAGAGATGTGAGCGAAGCAATATACCACTTACGATGTTTAGGTGTTGTGGCTGTAAAAAGTGTGTGTGTTTTAGTGATTATCTTATGGGGCTTATGCCTTGCCACATAGACTTTTATAGAAATTATTTTACAGTAAATTAGGTTTAGGTTTTTTCTTTTTGAGGATCTAAATGACTTTCTGTGGTTTTCCACAACATGATTGAACATTCCTGTAACTTTAGTGCAGATATAAAAATAATTCAGCCTTTCTCTATTCAGTTTGACAAAAAATGTTAAAACTCTGGTCACATGACTCTAAAACATGTTGTCACTCCACATCTATAGAATATCCTCAGGGCAAGTTTACATTCAACATTTACCTGAACATACCTTACTATTTTCTTTATGATTCTGTACATTCAAAAATATTAACTGAAAGAGAAACTTTGAATTATAACAATAGATTTAAAAATATAAAAATCTGGTGTCTTATATAGCATTTTTTATGCCTAAAATATTAATGTTCTGTAATCATCAGAGAGTAATTTCTGGCATAATAATTCAGCACTTAACATTTTTTATGAATACACTGGAGCTCAGCCTTTACTTGAATTGTAACATACTACTGGACACATTTTATTTTATTTATTTCTTTTGCATTTTGCATTTCATTATTTTATTTAATTTTATTTTAGTGGTATCTTGCACTTGAATTATGCTCTGTTGTGTAATATTGTCATTTTCTTGTTTCCTTGCACAGTTAATGAAAGAATTCCCCTTACTGGGAATGTTAAATATTCACGAGAACCTTTTAGAAGCATTATTAGAGCTGCAGGCCTACGCTGATGTACAAGCAGTCCTTGCAAAATATGACGGTAAGCTCATTCAGCTGTCATGTTACTGTACATTTCATAGAAGACCAGGAAGAGATGCTAGTATCCTTTATATTAACTGTCTGATGTTTCTCCCTTCAGATATCAGCTTGCCAAAATCAGCTACTATATGCTACACATCTGCCTTACTGAAAGCCAGAGCAGTGTCAGATAAGTAAGTCTTCAGCATCCTGGAAAAACCTTTTTTTATTATTATTTTCAGTTATGTCTAATATTGAATAGCATATTACCATATCATAGCATAGGTGATGTTTATGGATGATAGTTTGCTGAATGAATCTGTATGTGTGCTGTATGGCAGGTTTTCGCCTGAAGCAGCATCTAGACGAGGTCTCAGCACAGCAGAGATGAACGCAGTAGAGGCCATACACAGAGCTGTGGAGTTCAACCCACACGTACCAAAGGTTCGAATTATTCTTTTAAAGGGTCCAAAATTCGTGTGTCTTATACACTACTATTCAGAAATTTGGGGTCAATAAGATTGCTTTTAATGTTGGTAAAGGAGGTTTCTTATGCCCACCAAGGCTGCGTTTTTTTTTTTCATTAAAACCGTAATATAAAGTGAAAGCAAAACAAAAAGGAATGACAAATCAGGGCTTCTGCTGGAGGCAGTGCGGATTTCTGATTATTATCAATGTTGAAAACAGTTGTGCTGCTTAATGTATGTGGAAACCATGATACACTTTTTTTTAGCTTTATTTGATGAATAGAAAGCTCAAAAGAACAACATTTATTTAAAATTCAAATGTTATTATAATCAAAACATTCTAAATGTATTTACTAAAGCAATAAGCCCCAAGAAGCCGTGGTTTACAGTGAATTTATAACAGCTAAGGGGCGCTGTTAAATCCC